AACAAGAGGCTAAGAGAGAACCATGGCTCTGCAGATACCTTGATTTCACATTTCTAGGTTCCGTAAGTGTGAGGATAAATTTCTGTCGTTTTAAGCCATCTTTCTGTGGTACTTTGCTTATGACAGCTTTAGTAAACAAATATATCTATAATCTCAATCAAAATATTCCAATTTGTGGAAAGAATCTTTTGACAGAGCTATTTTTCACTGAATAAATTTATATTTCATAATGTAATAGAATATAATTGAGAAGCTCTATAATTTTACTTCAACTACATATGGCAAAATATTTTAAAAATCGTAAATCGGAATAATTTATTTAATGACTTTATCTTCTTAAGTATCTGTCAAAGAAAGGTATACTGCAAGGAGACACAAAGATAGTGTCTGAGAAAACATTTAGGCTAAAATATCTTCACATTTCAATATGAAAAAAACAAGAATTGAGACTGTTCCAGTCAGCAGAGTTTGCTCTGAGCTTATGAGGTGCTTTAGCATCTATAGCGAAAGTACTTTAAAACTAAAAATACTACTTTCTAAAGAGTAATTTTCAACTTTTAAGAAACCTACAGTAAATCTGATTTTTAAATTAAGATTTTTAAAATAAGATTTTTTTTTCAGAAAATTATCAGTATCAATGTGTTAAAGGAAGCTATGCCTAAGAAATTGATTCAAGTATGTGAATATGTACCAAGAATTTGACGTGTGTTAAATATTAACATTCACATAATTTAAAAAATTAAATATAAAATTAAGATAAAATTTTTAAATTGTTTAACTATATAACTATGTATAACTATATATTATCTTGTAAAATATTAATTTGGAAAATAGTTTTGAAGAGAACTTTTACAGGTCCACTAATATATATTTGTTAGTCAATAACGGTTCTAAATACATCATTTTCATTACATTAATGTCTCTTTTTATTCTTAAAAATGTGCTGGTTTGGTCAAAAAATTTTAGTCACATTGCCACTAATACACATCAAAAGTGTAGTCAATTCAACCCCTTGGATATCTTTCACACAATGTACCCTATCGTTACTTGCTCAGGTGCATTTCCTGAAAAGGCAGAAATGTTGCAAGTGACCCACACAGAAGGCAGGACAAGGAGCACTCCTTTCAGTATTTTATTCTCCCTCCCTTGTTGGGCTAACACTAAACATGGTTTCCTTAGGAAGCAATAAATCATGAGAGGAATGGGGATGAGTAGCAAGACAGCGCAATGTAGTACAAATTACAAATTACCCACCCCAAGAAGTCCTGAGTGTCAGTCAGCCTTGATTCACAGTTAGCACCTATAAGGTTGGACAGGTCACTTTAACTACACTGGAAGGCATGCAGTTTCATCTATACAATAAGAATGTTCCCAGTTGACTACATAAAAGGATTTAGCTAAGAGTTAACTGGCTGATTTGCAAAAATGGCTCTTTCTCCCAGTTTTTATTAAGTAATAGATGAAGACATATTCAGATAACCAGGAGTAGTATGGGACCAGAAAGTCATCAATATTTACGGTTGTTTCTATGAGTTTGTTCATTTACCTATATTTTCCAGAAAATAAACTGCAACCATCCTAATCTATGGTTATTATAACTAAATGAAGTATTAAATTACCTAAAGCAGGAAAACAGGAAAAAAATTCATGACTTCTCTTGTATATCAAGATAATCCTTCACAACATAGTAAAATAAAATCTATGCAAGATTAACAGTGTATTTTTAATTTGAATACTTGACATCTCACTTCTGCATCCAGGTTTCAGTCTCATTTTCAACCACAACTTTAGAGCTGCAACTGTTTTATGAGAACTGTTTTATGGAAAAGCCTAATACAATCATTAGTAATTCAAATTTCTCCTTGAGTCCTAAGAGTTTAATTGCTTTGTATATTAGAGCATAACTTGGAGATTCTGAGTTGGAACTAAGAGTACAATAGAAATTGAACCCAAGGGAAAAAGGGCAAAATTACATATGGAATAAAGTCAAACACTTGTACTAAGGAGCCTTTCAAAGTACATGAATGTTTTTAAAGTACATGAATACTGAAATATTAAGTTTCTGGCCTTTTAAAAACATTTCATTTCACATCCTAAATACTTCACTTACACCTTGAAGTAATTTTATCAGAAATTATACTTTCGTACATCAATAAAAAGTAAACCAAGTTTTCATTATGAATGATTCTGTTACTCAATTTTGTAACTTAATTCTTTCAGGACCCTAACCTGTAAATTAGAAGACAGTAGCTACCTAAACAACATCCATGCTTTTTCAGAATCTTAGATGCTAAGCTTTGGACCATGGGAACGCTTGGGCAGTCAGTTGAATCTCAGAATAATCTTTTTAAATGCTTAATATAAAATACCAGTTTTATTGAAATATTGTTATCAAACATTTTTTTAAGCATTAAATAATAATCTAGTGGCAGGTCTAATAACTACCATAATATCAAAGTAGTGACAAGTGCATATGATATTTTGAGATCTCTGTCATCACCTCTATGGTACTAAAATATCTGTGGTTTTTATTGGCAACATCACACATACTGTTAGTATTACTGTGGTTTGTTGCCAAATTCACAATTGAAGAAAATGCTAAATTTATTAGAGGTCAGTGTTAGAGGTTAGTCACCTCCCATCTAAATTTATGGATCACCTAAATTCTATGCATAAAGTCCCAGGTTAAGAAATACCTTGCATTAAGGAATCCTGACAACAAAATATTTAAGATTAAATGCAAAATTAGCTTTCTTGATTCACAAAAGTCCTATAAGATTTAATAAATATTTCCAAAAAGAGGAAAAGCAATAGAGAGATATGTTAACCATTACGAATTGCTTGTAAAGATAGGCACTAAGTAGTTCATGCACGTTCAAACCGCATCTTCAAACCCCATCTTCACTATCTATTTACTGTGCTAACTTGGACAAATTAATGTATTTAGGACTTAATTTCCCAATCTGTAATTGAGAAGAGTATCTACTTCCTTCAGTTATTGTGAGGATTAAAGGATATACTAATGTGAAAAATCTCAGTATTTAATAAAGGAAGGGTTCATTAAGTATTAATCAAATTTATTTTTCAATAATACAATTGGATTACTTAAAGGCAAGATGATATTCACCACAAAATTAATCATAAATAGCCCAAGAGAGAAGGAGGGGAGGGTCATCTATTTTAAACTATATTTATGCCCTCACTTTAGAATTATGAATCTTTGGATAGTCTCTCAGTTCTCTTTAATGAGAGTAATTATACGTAGGTACAGTTCAGATCATTAAGTGAACAAACCTGGTTGGTATGATGTTGATAAAAACATGACCAGACTCTGAGAGTAAATTATTTCATATGTTCCCAGGGCTAGACATTGAACAATAGCAAGATGATTAAGTTAAGTTATGGCTAATTGACATAATGTAATATGACACAGCCAATAAAACATTAACCAAAACAATGGCAAACAGAAAATGCTTATGGTGTAATTTTAAGTGGAGCAGCCCCAAAAGCATTCTTTCATAATATCTAACTCTGAGATCTTTGACATTTTGACAATTACTTACTTAGATTTAGACTATGGTCCATTCTGACCACAAAGTTTTCTCATCTTTTAGTATGTCTTCTCTGGTCCAAATTGCACTTCTCAATAGTAAATTTCATTTATTACTAACCATTAATTTATCCCACTCATTGACAATTCAAATCTCACTCAAGCTCCCATCTCCTTAAACCTCCCTCCACAATTTAATCATCTCTAAGCCAAACTATTTTAAAAATCTTTACTGAGCTCCATGGAATTCCATGAGAGCATTTGACCACGAAAAGATTACTGGTGTTTTGCTTTTTTCCTCCGATGTTTTTATCATCCCATCAAAGTATCAACATGAAAAGGTAACATAACTTCAAAGCATTTGAAAAACAAAGATTCAGGTCATTAAAGAAATTGCTCAATTATTACTAAAAACATGTATTGAATAACAAAATCCAAGATTAATATTAGTCTCTGTTTTTCATATTATCCATTCAATGAGAAAACTCTCTGAACAACTAGGACACAGACATAAAACTAAGATATAAGACACTAATGGTGAAACATTTTAGGTTTTAATTTAAAATGACATAAGAACTGCTTAGAAATCAAAATTGTGACCAGATAGCTATCTTATCTCATTTTTATTAGAATAGGTAATACAAAATAATATTTTGAGAAACTGCTTTTGCTAGTCATTAGGATGATCTAAAGCAGTTTGGGGAAGTCCCTGTTGTAGGATACTTGCAAATCTGCTTTGAGCAAGACAGTGTACAAGGTCTGTGACCTCTCCTCCAAATGAGATAGGTTGCTGCCCAGCTCCAAATACTGAAAAGCACTGGGCCAAAGTCTTATATGATGTTTATAACCCAAGAATATTTTGATTGTAAAATCCTCACATCGCAAGGCAAATGAAAAAAAATTAATCACCAAAAATTTTATTTTCAACTTTTTGGCTATATATGTAATTCATTTCAAGAAACACTAAGCTGCAACATATAGAAGCGCTTATTTATTTCTTTGACATTAAATATATTTTCTTCCAATAAGATCTAATTTTTCATGAGTAAATAGGAAAAAATCTCGTTACAAATCTTAAATAAAAACCAGAGAAAAATATTAAATGATACATCAAGATTTTGTAACTTTCAAATTCTGTCAAACATTTCTTGATATTACACTTGTTATATAAAAAAAAAACTCCACTAAAAAGTATTTATATTTTCCATTATTATAGGCATCTAGTAAAAATATTGAAAAAATAATGAAAAATACTTTTTCATTCTTAAGGCTCCATATATCTCAGAAACTGGTAATAAATCTAATAATTTAAAACAGTCAATATATTTGGGGAAGAGTTTATCAAATTTAAAGGCAATTTTCAGTAAGAAAACAGTAAGGTGCAAATTTCGAGTCAATAGGAATTGTCAGATTTAAACCACATTCACTATGAAGAACTAGACAACTATACATTAAAAAAGATGACTGAGGATGGGGACAAGTGGGGAGGCAGACAGTGGTGACCTCTGGAAGATGGAATCTCTTCTCTCTGCTGGTCCTAGAAGAGAAAAGAGACACCAATAAGCATCAACACACTGTCCGAATTCCTCCCCACCCGAGACCCATCAGTCCAAAGGTGTTTCTCAACCTTACAGCCAACCTCATCTTCATATATGGTTTTCAGTGCCAAGAGGGTATCAAAATACCACCCTATCCTAACTTAATTAGTGTTACCTTAAAAAGAAAAAAAAATCTACCGAAAGTATTATTTTTATACAGTTATAATCTGCATCAAATGGGTCAAAAGTAATACTTCTTATATTAAGAATAGCTTTCCAAAATTACTACACTTAACTATTTTAAATTATAAGGAGGCCATTAAATATAATTTTAAAAATCTGAATTATTCCGGTGTGTGGGCATATGAGCATGAAGTGGCTACAATTAAATGTTTGGGTTGTAACTATGGTGACTACCACTCAATATACACAGAGAGGATGGGTTGACCTGGTTGTTTCTATCAAGCGGACAAAGGGAAATTAATCAACTTGAACAATTTGAAAAAGGTTATCCTCAACCTAGAAAGATGCCCTAAAGCAATTAAAATTCAAAACAAAAACAAAAACAAATCTAAGTAAATAGATAAAATGACTAGTAGATAATTCTTTCAATTTTTTAGGACAAATAGAATTCTACAGAACTTCCTTTTCCTATGTAGTAGAGTTGGTAATTCCAAACAAACTGGCAAAATCTTTAAGGCACCAAAAGAATTTAACACAACCAAACTCTGAATAACTGTTATTTTCTCATATATCTTTGTGGAAGACCTAGTCATTAGAAACTACACTCAAAGTAAACTACGTACAAATAATAGAAAATGTTTTTTATTTCAGTTACTCAAGGCTAAGGTTCAAATGCATACAATAGAGAGTTAATCTATTTAAATTAAATAAGCGCTAGCTATGTTTCCACATTACTTACTTTTCATTACTTTCTTCCAAGTATTGTGTTGGACATTGTGGATACAAAAATACGAGTTAAGACACCATTTCTGGCCATGTAGAAGGCAGTGAAAGCGCATTACTGATAGCCCTGAAAGTCTGAAAACAGAATCTCTTCTGAACTCACTGGCTCTGGGTCAAAGGAATATATTTTTAGCTTCTTAGGTTTGAGTTTGCAACTACAACAAGTAAGTGACGGAAGTGTTCCCGGGCACCATTGTACAGAAGAGTTAAAACCGTACTGTTCTGTATTTGCAATGTACTAGCCAGCAACAAGAGCCAAAGAGATGCAGCGAATTTAAGATGGATCGCTTCAATCTTAGGTTGAAGAGGTTCAGGAAGCTCCATACAGAAAAATGCTGAGAAATTAAGATTCCTGTCTGATTTTGTGAAATCATTAAGAATTTTAGAGCTGGAAAAGACACCAACAAAGGAATTCGGAAACGCTAGTAAACCATCTAGACAACGCTGACTCCTTTGTTTACGGAACACAATAACCAAAACAAAAAGAAACGTTTGAACAAGCAAACTCTGTGTTTTTATGGCACCTTTCCTGAGACCTCAAACGTCTTCCTAAATCACTCAAATGCACCTGCTGCAAAGACGGAACGTTCTGGTGCCGGAGCCCAGGACCCAACACTTCTCAGGCGCCCGACTAGAGGCCGCAAGAATCCGCGCGCGTGGCCCGCTAGGCCAGGTTCTGAGCAGAGGCGGGCCTCGCCCGGCGCCGCGCCACAGGGCTGCCCGGAACCTCGCGCGCCCCGCCGCCCCTCCCACCGCCAGCGGCTTCACGCCCGGGAGCAGCCAGACCCGCGGAGATCGAGCGTTGGAAAGTGCTCCTACCTCACTCTGCTGCTCCGAAAGCCCCGGACCGTGCGCCCAGCTGCGCCCGGCGCCCCGCAGAGCCGCGCCGCGCTCCCGCCCACAGCCGGCACTCGGCCCAGGCGAACTCCGAGCAGCGAAAAGCTGCGGACCGGCATAGTCAAGGCCACGTACCCTAGACTTCCAAACGGAAGCTCCACCTCCCGCCGCACGGGTCCTCGCCGCTGCAGGCCGGGCTCCGCCCCCACCCCTCCCGGCCCAGCGGAAAGCAGTTCCCACCAGCAGCGAGTTCCGGGACGCCATGCAGGGCGGGGCCAGGAGCTAAGCTCAAGGCCGGGAGGCGGGGCCGGGAATCGAGCTCCAAAGTAGGCGGGGGACGTAACCGCCAGGGGGCGGGGCCAAGACCCAAGCCCCCGGCTGGGCACCGTTCGCGGAGATGCGGCCTGGTGACTGGTGGCCTAGAGTGTGACCTGGCGGCTTGGCTTCTGTCCTGTTCGTCAGGCCGCTGATCCCCGCCGTAGCGAGGACTCTGGAAGGCGTCTAAACTAATCAGTTCAAGCAGCACGCCACCTTTCTCCTGAGCCAACAGCCTCCGAAGCTATGTGGAGTTTGATTTAGCAGGAAGATGTTATTGGTTCTTTGTTTCCCACTCCCTTAATGCGACCTTGGGATACCTTGGGAGCTGGAGAAAGACATAAATGTGTGAGTGTGTGGAGGGAGGAGGGGCACATGGCTAAACAACGCCTGTACCTTAGATTTTCTATAGCTCTACCTTATGATTTCCACTTTTGGAAGAAAAAAATGACCAATGTCTAAGTTTTTCCAGAGTGTATGATCAAGTTAACACAGCTTAGGAACCTGCTGTTCTGTGGTGAATTTGCAGTGAGAAAGCAAAAATCAACTCCTTTTGAAAAAGTAAAAATCAGACTTGCCATGCATTACACTGAGACATATTAAAAGATAAACTGAGGTATATGAAATTTTTTTATCTGAGCAAAAGATGATTCGAATCAGGCAGCATCTAGTCTAACAACCAGAAAGGAGCTGTACAAAATGAAAGACTTTCATATAGGCAAAAGGGAGTGGGAACAAGGATGGGGGTATGAGGCAGATTACTTAAGTAGGGCTGATTAGGTGATTCCTGATTGACTGATTCAAGATTCCATTTCTGGGAGAGCTGAAACTGTAATTAACTCTTGGTTTGGTTACATGGGACTTAGCATAAGTGATTCCATTTTGGTCCTGTTGTCTTATTTAAAAAAAACAAAATCACAGACACAAATAAGACACAATCAGATAAAACTAGCTGCAAAGTTAAAGGAAATAATATTTCTCCCAAGGTTGAGCTACTGCTGTGAAGTGTCATCACAATCCATTTGACCACTGCTTTCTTATTTAGAATCTTTGTTCTCTAAAATCATGGACTGACAGAACATTTTCTGTTTAAAATATCAATAAAAATGAAACATCCAACTCTTGTCTGGATGATACAAGTGAATTTTAAGAGAGGAGAAGAGGCATCTGAAAAATGCAAAGGAAAGGGCTTGCAGAAATGACCTACTCATCCAGTTCAAGTTCATTCCTGACTTCCCTCTCTCCCTCTTCTAGGACTCTCCAGCTAATGTTTTCCCATAGCTACCTCCCCCACCTCAAGGACTCTCCAGCTTACACCTGTTGATTCATGGCTTGCCAACCAACTAATGTTCTTCCTTATCTCTGTAGCTGTGTAGGAATAACAAGACTGTATAAAACTGCCTGTTATGTTACAATTAGGGCTCAACCTTTGCATAGGAATCCACTGAGCAGGTGCTGGCATTAATAAGTGTTGCTTTCTGCTTATAGCCTCGGTGTCCCATCTCTCTGCTCCAGAATCCTATAACAGTACTGATAACAAGGCCGTAAGACAAATGACCTGTAAGACCAATGGTCTGGAAATTCCTCTCCCCTTATAGCCCCCCACCCAAAGCTCTCTCTCCCATCCTGAGTCAGGAGGCACACATGAAACCTCAGACAAAGGAATCATGCGCCCTTTGCATGGACACTGCGGAGGTATATAAACTGTAATAAATCTAACCAAAGCGAGCCCGTGCTTGGTGTTGTTAACCCCACATGCTCCACCAACCAATAAATTCTCCTTCCTATAACAAAGTTGTCTGAGCGTCCAATTTCTTCCAATTTCCTCCGTCGGGTGTCGCTTCCTGCAACAAATTTGACACAAGGAAGCAGACTTTATTTCCAACCTAGGTGCAGAGCTTCAGATGAGAGATTTCTGGACACATTCCACATTTACCTTAACTTTTTCAATTCCAAGGAAACAGGCCCCTAGGCCCCCTTTGCAGTTCAACCTGAAGTTGGCCCCTTTACACACAGTTCTTTTTTGCTTTCAGCCTACCAAATATACTGCTGCTTTTAAATTTCACTTAAATTCTACCTTTCTCCAAATCTTATAATAACCTACATGTCTCCTTTTAATTGACCAGATATTTTAGAGTTTCTCTAGTATGCATTCTGCCTCATTACAGGAAGCCAATTGTCTTGTTTGTCTTGCTATAGGTTTGTCCCTGGAGGGTGTAGTCTGATGAGGTCAGGAGAAATTGTTCTAAAGGAGGGATTCCTACCCACAAGAGGTTGTCAGTCTAACAAAGTAGACAATATTCTGTGTTCTGTTGGGTGGAGGAAAGCATGTCCTCCATGAGGTCCAGTACCACATATACCACTTCTTTGGCACCTCCATTGTACCTAGAATAGTTTTGGGAAAAGAATAGGTATTCAGTAATTTCTTGAAAATTGGTTAAGGTTTATAAGGAACCCATTTACAACATATTTCAAAACACAATCTTATCAATTCAAAATGTTCTTTAATCCTCTGGCCTTCCCTGTCACCTAGGGAAATGCATTGATCATGCCTCTTTCTTATCCTCCATCTCATGCAAGTACTTTGGCAGCTCCTACTTTCTCTCTCTTAACACATGAATAGTATATGCTTCCCACTAATGAGCAATTTGAGTTATATTCTACTCAGACTTTCGCTGTTTCGGAGTAACTCCTTAAAGTCATCTTGAGGGAAGAGCCTGCATCAAGTAAAACAGGGGACCCCAACCCCAGGGTTGTGGACTGGTACCGGTCTGTGGCCTGTTAAGAACCGGGCCACACAGCAGGAGGTAAGCAGCTAGCGAGCAACTGAAGCTTCGTCTGCATTTGCTGCTGCTCCCCAGCGCTAGCATCACCATGTCAGCTTTACCTCAAGTCATCCAGCAGTAGATTCTCATAGGAGCACTGGTCTCTGGTGCCAAAGAGGTTGGGGAACGTTGAAGTAAAGGAAGGTCATTCCCCTCTGTCATCTGAAGGTAGCCCCACAAGCAAGTCTACCTGTTGTCTAATTTCTGTGTGTCCTCCAGAGCATTGTGCCCAGAGCCTAAACCAATGGATAGAATACACTAAGTTCTCACTAAATATCTGTTGAATTAATGAATTAATGAATTGA